AGGAGGCCAGTGACCCAGTATGGGGAGACGATGGGCCAGAAAAGGGGTGAAGGGTGGGAGTGGGCAGCAGGACTGCTTCCCGGCTTGGCCAGGAACTTGGCCGAACCCCTGCTGGCGCCAGGGAACAGCGCGGCGGGGTGGGAGGAGCTGGAAAGGACCGGGCGGGCCGCGGGTCGGCTTGGAGAAAGGGCCATGTCCCGGTTCCTTCATCTCTGCCCAGCGTTCTGCTGGGCAAGGCCCCCGGGGCAGGGCAGGGGAGGCGGTGGCTCCGACTGGCGCCCGCAGCTGAGGAGCGCCCACCCCCTCGCAGGGCCGCGGTGACCGAGGGGAAGCATGTGGCGGCTACTGATCCCGCTGGCCCTGTGGCTGGGCGCGGTGGGCGTGCGCGGGGCCGAGCTCACGGGGGCCCAGCGCCGGGGCCTGCAGGTGGCCCTGGAGGAATTCCACAAGCACCCGCCCGTGCAGTGGGCCTTCCGAGAGACGGGTGTGGACAGCGCCGCGGACACGGTGAGTGGCATGGCCCTGGCGGGACTGGGGAGGCCTGCACTCCGGGAGACCAGCACATTCCCAGGAAGCGGCACCGAAGGGCTTGAGTTCTGTGAGCGCCCAGCCGCCTTCTGGGATGTCTGTTTCACCTGAGGCAGGCGCGAGTCACAGCCAGAAACGGCTTTGCGCGCTCAGCTGGCTGCTGGCCTTCCTCTGCCTGTCTGTCTGCAGCCTTTCCCAGCTGGGACATTTGTGAGGCTGGAATTTAAGCTCCAACAGACAAGCTGCCGGAAGAAGGACTGGAAGAAACCTGAGTGCAAAGTCAAGCCCAATGGGGTGAGTGAAGGGGCGTGTGTGCGTGAAAGCAAGGTGGAGTGTGTGTGTGTAGACTCTGGGTTTGGGGTGTAAGTGATGGGGCATGTGCTGGGTGTGAGTGCGTGAACTTATGAGATCCAGTGAGAAGCCCAAGGTTGGAGACCCCACTGTGAGGCCATTTCCTAGAAGCAACTCTGAGTTCCCCTCCCAGGCTTCAAGTCCTGGGTGGAAGAAGCCCAGCCACTGGGCCACCTCAGGGCAAACCCGCTGCCATGGGCACGATGTATGGGACTGCAGCAACCTGGGTTCTGGGTCTCACTCTGTGAGCACCAGCTAAGGGGGGTGGGGGTGGTTGCTGAATTATAGCAGTGATTCTCAAACCTCTTGGTTCCTGGACCCTTTTGTTGTTCCAATCAAGTCTTACAAGAAAACGTGAATAAATAGTGACATTGGAGTGGCTCTGGTCTAAGTTAGTGGAAAGAACCCATCTGGGGAGGATTCTTGCCTTCAGAGGAGCACGTGCATACACTCAAGCACATGCTTGTTCACACATGTGCAACATACAACCATCTGGAGAGGATTTCTGCCTCCACAGGAGCACATGCATGCACTCACACCCAGGTACATGCTTGTTCACACACGTGCCACACAAACAACCATCTGGGAGGATGCCTACACACATGCTAAAGTTCCATAGTCTGAAAACTGTAGGACTGTTTGACTTTCGATATTTCCCAGTCCCGGGGTGGGCTGTGCCGGAAAGCAGCTGGCCTGCATGACCCCTTTCCTTTAGGGAGCCTGGGGAACTGGTCCCCAGTGTGAGCACCCCCCTCAGCTCCCACCCTTTTGGTGCTAGTGCTTCCCTCACTCCTCTCCTCAGCTCACCCTATGCTCTCCCTCCCCAGAGGAAGCGGAGATGCCTGGCCTGCATCAAACTGGGCTCTGAGGATAAGGTTCTGGGCCGGATGGTTCACTGCCCCATACAGACACAGGTTCAGCGGGTAAGAAGGGGCAAAGATGCAGAGAGTGGGAGGGTGCTGGATTAATGGATGGAAGCTGGGCCTGTGGGAGAGATGGACAGACAGAAAGAGGAGGAGGGGCGTAGGGGGTGGTAAGAATGGGCACTGTGCCTGGTGCAGGCACTCCCTAGGGAATGTGAACACGGGTGCTGCCAAGGATGCTGGCAGCCCTCCTCCTGGCACTGCCCCCCTCCCCGCGGCACTGCCCACGCCCGTCCCTGCTCCCCCGCCCCTTCACTGCCTGAACAGTTGCTGGTGCTGGCAGGAGCTCGAGGAACACCAGGAGACACAGTGCCGCAGGGTGGAGCGGGCCGGCGAGGACCCCCACAGCTACTACTTTCCTGGACAGTTTGCCTTCTCCAAGGCCCTGCCTCCGAGCTGATCCCTGAACTGGTACGCAGCTAGGGGACAGGGAGCACAAACTCTGGACAGGGATAGCCCTCGGAATGTGAGTGGGCTGGTACCAACTTATGGGAGGAAGGGAGGAGATGGATTAGGAGCCTGGAAAGAAAGTTGGGACTTGGGCAAAAACGGCATCGCCAACACTCAAACCTCTTTTACCCTTTCCTCTAGAATTTTGTCCTGCTTCCAGGACTCCTGCAGACCATAACCAGTGGAAGGCCATGCCCTTCCAGGGAGAGGATCCCATTATATCCTGAATTAATAAAACTCTCCCAGCTGTGTTCTTTCTGCTCCTTGCGGTGCCCGCCTTCCTCCTCAGCTCAACCAGAGTGACCAGGGAAGGCAAGGGTGCAAGACCCTTCCAGTGGGACATCAGGAAGCAGTGGGAACCCTCAGCTGCGGGCAGGGTGAGTGGAGCCTCTGGCGCTCCAGAGGCAGAGGGGCCCCATGAAATGCCAGGCAGTGATGCAAATGAGAGCAGAACTATTTAATAGAGATGTGTGAGTGGGAATCGGCAGAGAAGGCTCCAGGAAGCACAGGACTGATCTTCTGAATAGGCAAATGTGGAAGGTGGGTGAGCTCCAGCTTCCAGGAATCCCTAGGAAAGGAGGCTGGCCCATCCCTACCTTTCTCACCTTAGGAGGAAGTAACTCCTTCCACTAAATCTCAGTCTGGAGCAGCCGGAAGTGGCAGCAGCTGTGGACACGGACGCACAGGCTGTGGGAGCCCTTGTATCTGCTTAGAGGCCATTGGGGGTGCACCCTTGCAATACATGGGAGGAGAGTGGAGGGAGAGAGGGGCTGCCCTCAGGACAGGGACGAATGGGTAGCCCAGTCTGCAGGGCCAATGACCAGTATCAGGAAACCGTGCAGAGCAGGAAGGGGAGATGCGGGCAGCGAGGCCACCTTCCAGGCTGTCCAGGGCCATGGGTGCATTCAAAAGACAAAGGAAGAGGTGGTGCCAGCGGGGCTGAGTGCCTGCTCGGCCTGGGCCAGGCTGTCGCTGGCCTGGCGGTCGAGGTCCCGGCACTCCTGTAGTGTGTCCTGGAACTGCCGGCAGGCCTCCTCCAGGATGGAGCTGCTCCGGCTTGGCCAGGACTCCCAGTACCCTGGCTCTACCCAAGGCTGGGCCTCAGTGGCCCTGGGGCCTGGGCTGGAGCTAGGGCGCAAGGAGCTGTCCAGGTCTCGGCACAGCTGGTAGAGCTCACTGCCGTGCCCAGTCACACGCTCACCGTCGATGACTTTCAGGCCAGGCAGCAGCTCCCGGACTGTAGCCCAGTAGGAAGGGCTGGTGCAGAGGGGGTTGCTGAGCCGGGCCAAAGGGTCCCGGAGCCGCAGATACTCAAGGCACTGCAGCCCGGCCAGACACTGCAGCTGGCCAGGAGTGGCCAGCAGGTTGCCTGCAGCATTGAGACTCTGCAGGTTCTCACAGGCGGCCAGTGGCTCCAGCCCTGTCAGCCGATTGTTGGAGACATTGAGCACAGCCAGTTGGTGCAAGGAGGCCAGCGGGCCCAGCTGGGTGAGTGCATTGCCTGACAGGTCCAGCCACTCGAGGCCCAGGCATTCTCCCAGGCAGCCCAGGTCGGCCAGTCCCAAGCCACGCAGCTTCAGCAGCAAGATGGACTCCAGGGCGAACTCGCCCGTGCGTGACTTCAGCAGCTGGGGTGTGATGCGCAGCCCGCCAGTCTCTCCTGGCTTCTCCCCTGGAGGCTCCATGGGACAGAAGTCGATTTGGATGGCCTGGGCCCTGGCAGTTCCGTCACAGGGATGTGGGTGCCACTGGGGGTCAGCCGACTGCTTGCCCAAAACAGACTCCTTCAACTCTCTGAGCCAGTGAAATGGGAGGCCTATTTCCAATACCCTGCTCGAGGCTAGTAGTTCCCTAAGGAGAGAAAATTAGAGTCAAGCCCTGTGTCCTGTGAAGCAGGTGACGCACGGAGTCTGACCCTGCCTTCACCACCGGAGTCAACAATCTTGATGGCCAGGCAAGCCCTGAAGACCAAGGTCTGAGACATAGGCTACAAAGCCAAAAGTCATCTAGGTGCAGCCTCCACCCAAGGGGAGTGGCCTGGGCTCAGTCTGGCTGGGTAGGACCATTTGGGATGGATTCAGGCCCAACTTTACCAGCTCCTTCCACTTGTCAAATCTGGGCTGGTAAGCAAAGTCTCATTATTTCACTGTTTCAGTAACCACTGCTTCTTATTAACTTTGAGGTATCTCTTTTTTGTGTGTGTGAGTTGGAGTCTCACTCTGTTGCCCAGACTGGAGTGCAGTGGCTGCTCCCGGCCACTGCA